ATATAGGGGTGAAACTATTCCACAATTTCAAATACTCAATAAGATGATTGTCATTATTCGACAACTATTTTTATAGTCAATTAAGAGTTGAAGACATTTATAAAAAGCTAATTCCAAAAATGACAGGATCTAGCATCTTAAATTTAGAATTTGCAGCTTCTTTACTTAAATCACTCCTTACTTAATTGGAGTTTGAGTGTTATTCCGACAAAACAAGCAATCTGAAGACATTACCTTTGGTTCTGGGTATTTGAAACATGCTTTCTCACTATTTTTATAGCAACGGCTTGATTGAAAAAATAATTGATGTGGATTAGTGTAACAAGTCATAGCGTGGAAGGATGAGATGTGGTATGATTTATAGAAGTGTAGTATGACATGGTGTGGTGAGGCTTTGTGACATGATGTGACATTACCGTGGTGTGCCGTGGCTGGATAGGAAATTTGATGTGGCGCTGTGCAATGTGACATGTCACAAGCTGATGTGGCATGCTGTGATCCGTTGGTGTATTTGAGGGTTGGTTGGATGGTCGTGGCAAAATTGGGTAAAAGTGAAGAGTGTAAGGAAAACAAGACTTTTTTCTCTCTCTCTCTGACTGACTTGCTCCATATACTTTCATCCACAGGGAATATTCTATTTTAAAAATTAAAAGAGTGACTGGTTTAAAAACATGACAGTAGAAAGAAGATGTTTTTGAGGAGAAGAAGTTAAAGACCCCCCCCCACACACACACACACACCTTGGATATTCGGATGTATTTAGTATTTGTATTTTTTTCATGAGCACAATGTTACAAAGTAGTTGGTCAATCGCATCTTCCTGACTTGAATTATCTCAAATCAAAGAGTCTTACAATGTCCAGCCTAAGGCCTTTCCTTGCATGGTGACATTTTTATAAACTGAGCAGGAAGTGATACAGGTTCAAGACCCAATCAGATTGAATGAATTCAACATTCTGAGTTTATGTATTTGTACCAAGAAAGGAGTAAACTTGTGTAAGGCTTGTTTGAGAGAAGAAGAAAAATATATGCCATCATAAAAGGAAGCAAAGGAACAGCAAGGGAGAGAAAAATCAGTAAGGGATGATCAAGAGATGAGCAGAGAGAGACACAAAGTGTTCCTCTCTGTCCTAGGGCTAAGTCGTCCTATCAGACAGACCGTTACAGCTCAGTTCACCTGCCCGAACACAGCCCATCTTCATTCAGCATGTGTGTTTTGAGGACACTCCACAATCAAAACACAAAAAAGGGAATATCTTTATGGTGTTCATCCTTCCAGTAGTTCTAGAGAGACTTGTATAGTCTATGTAAAGGAACACTAAAGCTGTTCTGCTGGTTCAGGCTTATGAATTTGTGTGTGTGTGCCTGGAAAATGTGTGTATTTCAGTAAGTGAGCATGTATGTTACATGTGTGAGCGTGTGTGCGCTGATACACAACATAAGGCCTGACATGACAGATTGTATTGCTACAGGATTGTGCAAGAGTGCCAAAATGCTACCAAACCACGAGAGATAGCAGTGAGCCACAGTGCAGGATATCCTGTATGTAGAAAAACACAGAAATACACAAAACATTGGGGGATTGTAAGCACTTAGAGCTGTGAGTCCTGCCAACATGCACTTGAGCACACCACATTACAAACTGCTTACTCACTGAAAGTTTTGCTAGATAAGAAAGTCGGAAAATGCCTAAAATGTGAAATATTAACTTGTATGTAGATACAGAGAGACATGGCCCTGAGAGTGAGCAGGGGACAGAAAGAGAGAAGGGTGGAGGGAGGATGATTATCTTTTCCATCTTTCTCTGTCAACTCTTTCCTTCCTCTATCACAACACACACACACACACACACACACACACACACACACGCACACACAATCACAATATCATATACACTGTCCTTTTGGTCTCTGGTGACCTCAGCAAATTCCCTAAATGCCAGCCGTCTCATTAAGGTCAGTAGGAGGATGATAACTGTGTGTGTGTGTGTGTGTGTGTGTGTGTGTGTGTGTGTGTGTGTGTGTGTGTGTGTGTGTGTGTGTGCGTATGTAAGGGAATTTTAGAAAGCTATGACTGCCATCTATCCATGGAAGCCGTCTATTATCTGCTATCAGATTGCAGTCTAGACCAATAAATGACAACATACAATAAATACTAACCAAAATAGAAAAGAAACAGCAACAATAAATAATATGGCACTGCAAAGGGTGACAGCAAAACTAAACTATATGTTAGACCTGCAGTAAGTGATTTCTTGGTTTCTTTGAGGCAGCGGAAACAGAAAACAAGAACATAGCACTGACACATCATCACTTCTAAAGCTGATATGGAAAACATTTTTAGCAAACAGTCCAGTACTCACTCTCTTTTAGTAAGTCCAACACTCACTCTCTTTTAGCTCTGTTCTTTTTTTGGTTTTCACTGTGGGAAATATCTGGCTGTTTAGCTGCTAAATGCTCCACTATGTTTACCAGCTAGTCGCTAACTGTCTCTCCGCTGATTGGTGCTAGGCAGGTTATGCACAGAGAGTTTTTAGAGCTTTTTCACTGAAAACAGCAGCTTGTTGCAAAATGAATGAATCCAAACAGCACATTTATGGCCCAGGCAGCCAAACAATGAGCTGAAACTCGCTATTAAGCCCCTTGAAGCCAAGGGGAGCTGAAGATTCAGGTAATAATTCTCTGTAGGTTCATCCCTACGGACGACATCCCTTTCACATTCTCACACATTGTTTTTACATAGTCGTTTGATAAAATAAAATATCGGTTATAGCCGCTTTAAACAATGCAGTAATGACCTGAGACAGTTTCCTCCCTACTCTGTCAGGCTTCTTCAACACAGCAGAGATCCAACCCACAGTATGTCCACTTCATAAAAGCTCTGTTCTTAACATTTTCTGTGTGGTAGCTCCTTCCTGCTGCACAGAAAGTGTTTTTAATTTAAGGCTTGATTAGAATAAACAGCATAAGAGAGCAGTGACCATCTCCATGCCTGAAGAGACAATGAAATTAGTTTAGGCAAGAAAAGAGAAAACTTTAGTGACAGAAAGTCCTAGAAAATCCAAGGAAAAGGACGTCACAGCCCCACCTACTATTTTTGACTGACAGCTCTGTGAAGAGCAGTGCAAATAAAACACAATCAACCCTAACTCTGGGCACAAAACACATAGACAGAAAAGGGATAAAAATCAGGACACTAATAAACAGCTCAGCAGTCAGTGCAATAAACCATTACACCTGAGATCCAGTGTACTGTGGACAAATCAGTGGTAAAGAGTACCCCATACTACAACCATAAGCTTGGGATTTAAACCCCACAACAGCCAAATCTGTACTTGACATGGTCCAGAACCTCTGACCCCTCTGATTAAAGGTCTCTCAGTGAGAGATTCCAAGAAAGGAATTCCTTGTTGTGTTGCTTGGACTCACACAATAATGTCATAGTCACTCCAGGAATTATTTGTGTGTGTGCATTTGTACATACTCGTACAACAGTTTGGATTCTTTTACAGTACAAAAGGTCTTGATATAACAGATAATGTTGAAATTATAAATCTGGGAAAGTAAGGAATAAATTACTGTGGGATCGCAAATGCATGTGTTTTTTTTTGCAGAGGTCCTTACCTTGATGTTGCAGGCCTGCTCCATAAGCCTGCGGGCATTTTCCGCAGCTCTGTAGCGTTTAGGGAGCTGGACTCTGAAGAACTTGAGAGCCCCTTCGAAGTCTGCCTGCAAGAGGTCCTCTTTAGATGTCTGGAGCGATACATGAGGAGGTGGGAGGAGAGGGGAGGTGGTGGTGGTGGTGGAGGCAGATAAACAAGAGACATTATGAGTCAGAAAACTTAACATTACCTACATTGTGCTACAATTCTGCACTGTGCTATGAGAGGCTCATAATGTTAGGGTCAGACCAAGACAATCTAGGCCTGCTGTTCAAATACTGAGTATAGTTATTTGAAAGCACTCCTCTCCATTGAATGCACAATGCTTTAAATACCGGACACAACAGCCCTAACTGGTGCAGTGAAGCTGCTCAGTCGCTGAACTGAGGATGTGGCGCAAAGTTCTTTTAAAAAAGAGTATGGAGTCCAGACCACAAATGTTAAAGAAAACACAAACACACACACACACACACACACACAAATGACACCATCTTGTGGTATAAGGATGCATTGTCACGAGAATCTATCTAGATATTAGTAGATGTACTGCACGTGTTTGATCAACTCTTACTCAAAGACCAAGTCCATATTTATGTTTTTCTCTCTCAATTTGGTCCAGATTAGACCATGTTTTGGCTGTTTAATTTCTAATGGTAAGTGAGAGTATGGGATCAACTATTGAAATATAACTTCTAGACAGCTTGACGTTTCCATTTTTGAGTTGACAATTGCATTTTAAAAGCCACTTGTATGAGTTTTCCATATGAATCTATTCATGTAAGAGTCAGTGTTTATAGCAGAGAGCTATCAGGCTAGCCATCTCCTGTAGATAAAATATAAGGCAACATCTACGTTGTGACGTACAGAAAAGTACACAGCAAAATGTGCAAGCTTCAATTTCAAAGGACGTCAAGGGTTATAGGTCAAACCTTCACCACAACAGATGCAATAAGGAGTGGAGAGACAGAAACTAACAACCATTCCTTTATAACTCTAAACCAGCACATCCCTGCATGCTCAGCTTCTTTCATCCAGCATCTGTTTCCCAGTCCCCCCTCTCTCACCGCCAGCAGCTTAGGGACGAAGAGTCGGTGTCCCATTCCAAGGAGACCCATCACCCTGCAGAATGAGTCCTCTGAAGCCTGACTGCTGTGGGCCCTCTCCTCTGCTGTTCCCTCTCCGTCCTCCACTGCCCTGCGCACTGCTGGAAGGGGCAGATGCGTGGTCAAGGCAGGTATAGGAGGAGGAGAGGGCGGAGGGGAGGATGGAGGAGATGGTGGTGGGGTGGGGCAGGGTGAGGGAGAGGGGCGGTCCCGCTCAGGGGCCAGGGTGGCAGATGACTCCAGCGTGTCGTCCAAACGTCCCAGTGGGTTTCTTGGAGTTGGAGGAAGTGTGGACTGGGAGCAGATGGGTTGGTCAGCGTGTTCAACTTAGGTGAGCCGAGATTCGCCTTGAGGTCACTATCAAGCCAAACTGGCTGAATCCTGGTGAAGGAGATGACTGACACTCTGGGAGGAGACGCTGATAATGCCACATCAGGCAGTGTCACAAGTGACTGATGTTCAGGATGCCAGCGAGGAAAGAATCGAAGAGACGCTCAAAGGAACTCACAGCAACTCAGCAGAGTTGCATCCAAGGCATCCAAGGCATGCAACGCTGAGACTGATCCAGTTCATCTAGGCTCCACAGAATTTGGACAAGTGGACAAGACGTCAGTGGAGGCCACTCAGCTTGTACCACTGTCAGAGCCCAGTAACAGCCACTAGGTGTGACAAAATAACAGTCAGGAAATGATGTATTGATGCTGCTTTCAGCATAATGCTGAGTCTTCCAGCTACCTGCCAGACTCACTTTGAAATCCAGTCACACTACCCACTCTCATCTTCCCGTGCCAAACTCCCCCAGCCAATTCCAATCCAGTATGCCGTTGCCTAGCAACAAAGCTGCTCAACACGTGGGCTGCTGCTCCGGCAAACAGCAGCAATGGATAAGTGCTCCACCTTTTTTATTTTTCCTTCGTAGTTAGACTTCAAAGACGGAGAGAATGAAAATCCCCTTCAGTCTGCACAACTGGGTGGCCTTAACGCTCGGGGCTTGGTGCGTATGAGACGACACATCAAAGCGGTCGATATATTTTGTTCCTTTTTTCCAAATGAGAAGCCACACCTGGTATGAAGCTGACAGGATTTTAGCTTTCTTTGAAATGTAAAATTGCCTGAAATAATGTAATAATATGAATCCTTTTATCTGAAGAGCCCCAGTCTAAGCCTGAGCAGGCAGACCTGACGACATGGCAGGAGCAGTCGAGATGTGGTCTGTTAGCATGCGAGCATGGCACTTTTCTGCCTTCAGGAGATGATGATGCGTCTGTGTTGGTTTATGGCTGAGTGAATGCTGAACTCATTGAGTCAGATTTAAGCCAGTAATGCATGAAAGACAAGATGAGTTTGAAAGGAGGTAGTAAAACAGAAGAAAAGTGTATCACAACAGGCTCTCTGTATCTTTGCTCTTCCTCCTTACTGATATAACCCTCTGACCTGAAGTCTGAACATATCCAAACCACATAGAGCACTAAAAACACAGTCCAGTCTACAGCTCCAGCGTGGACATCAGTGTTTGTCCCTCCGGCAGATTTCCATTAGCAGCAGGAGCCAGGCATCCGGTCTGTAGCGGTCAGTAGATCCTTCAGATGGAAAGTCACTTCTGCCTCTCAACAACAAAGGCTAAATGGATGAGGGTTTGCACAAGTGTGTATGTTGTTGTGCTATCAGAAGTGATTATCCTGGCAAGCAGCTGGGGTGAGGCAAAGCAAAGAAACCACACAGTGTTTCCTGTCCACTGCCTCTTTCTTTTTACACTCTCTCTGCTCTTCCTCGCTTTCTCTTTGTGATGCTAACAGCTAACGGCTAGCAGGGGCGGCTCCATTGCAGAGGTCTGGGGTGGTGGACAGAGGTAGCGTGTTGGAGAAATACATAGCCAGCACACACTGAAGAGGAGAAGGCGGAGGGAGAGGAGCAAGAGGTAGAAGGAGAGAATGAAGAACTGATGGAGAGAAGAAGCTCCAAGCAGGCATCCATGGGAGGTAAAGATGAAGAGGGAAAAAAATTTAAACAAAAACAACACAGATCTCCTCCAGGTCCAGATTGCTAACGCTATAGCTTATGTTCCTGTTGTGATGTGGATGGCGGCGGCTAAGCACGAGAGGGAGGGAGGTGAACACAGATGGAGGGAGGGGTGATGAGAGTGGGGAGGAGAGCAGGATGGATGGAGGAGGGAGGAGGGAGCCTCAGGGGAGAATGCCGTCATGCCTGGCCAATGAGAAGCAGGCAGTGGAAGCCCCTTCCACCCTCCTCACATCCTCATTTGTTCTCCATTCCCGACCATCACATGCACCACATCTTTCTCTCTCTGCCACGCAGAATACATTATTGCTAAAATATAGAGCAGGAGGGCTTTTTAAAATCAGCCATGTATGATTCATTTAGAGAGGAAAGACTCAGTGTAGCTGTATGTAAAAGCAAAAACACTTCCTGAGCCAATCTGCAAAATTGGATTAGGTTTAACAGTTTTAATGTATAGGCTATATTGGTGACCTCATGTATACTGTGCAGCTGTTTTATGCAGGAAAAATAAATATTGGATCATCAACTATTGGCAAGTATTCAATATTAAAAGGACCAGTTTGGGTTATTTTTCTTTTGCTACTTTTCTGCTGGAAAGAGAAAATTGTAAAAATAGTTGTGATTTTGTTTGTATAATTAATAAATAATCTAAGGCAACCTGTTCCAGTAAGAATGAAATCACACTGTTTGGATGAGGTAAATGTGAGATGTTTTGCGTCATACATGTCTGCATGGTCTACATCTTCACAAGTAGAAACAAGAATGTGAGTTTTGTAAAGGCTTTGTGCAGGAACGTGCAATAATCAAATGTCAAAAGTAAGCATGATTGCTATTAAAATAAAAAAATAATACAATTAAAATACATTTTCTAACTGTGTTTTGTTTAGGGCTGACACATAGAGACAAGCAACCATTCACGCCTATGGAAAATTTTGACTCCCCAATTAATGTATTAAGCTGCATGTCTTTGGACTGTGCAAGGAAGCTGGAGCACTGGAGGGAACCCATGCAGACAGGTGGAGAACATGCAAACTCTGCACAGAAAGGTCCCAATCGGCCAGCAGGTTCAAATGTGATGAGAGGCAATAATGCTCACCAGTGCACCACTGTACCGGAAATAAAAAAATAAAACATGATGCTAAATTATTTGTTTATTTTGTTCCAGTGCCAAGACATGGACTATATGATGACAAAAAACAATCCTGTTGTTCATCACTGAGTGTTCGTGAAGTTTCAGCTTGAGTTCCACAAGGACTGTCCCATGAAATTAATGGGCACATTGAACAACCAGACACCGGCATGCAATATGACGCAGTCATTGCCAAAACTAATCGGTCCATCCCACCACAAACAGATCTGATAACACAACAAATAGTAATTCAACACTGTTCTGCTTTGACGGGAAAGCCATGCAGTTTGGTTTGGTAATATTTTTAAAAACTCAAGCAGATATTATCTTCACAGTTCTTTAACTGCACTTAAAATACAGCCATGATTTGCATTTTGTGAAGTTTATTAGTTGTAACATGTTTAATTCTGATAAGTTTCTTTTAGATTAATGTGACTCAAATCATGATTGATTTTAAGTAATATTTGCTGTTTTTATTCTCTGTCTCAGTATTGATTGTTGAGTATGTGTACTGTTTTACAGTAAAAAATATGTTTTTTACAATATTTTTTTATTTAATTTTTTTTAAAAATAAATCCCATGTGCACCCATAGCTGTATGCTAAGAATGTAAATTAATGGGTTGTATGGCAAATTGAAAACATTATTTATATTTATCCATTTAAGGCTCAAAACATATACTACAACATACTAGTAAAATTATAAACTGAAAGGTATTACTGGAATCACTCACAAAACAAACACACACAGACGTGTTGTTTTAGTCAGAATCTGGTCACTGTGATATAGACTGGCAGCTATTGTGACACGTAAGGCATCACATTCAATATGATGTTTAACATGAGTCTTTACCCGTTTGCCCAACTTGTTTTCAACAAATCAGCTTCCCTACCAGGTGTAGTTCCTGATTTGAACACTAGGGGGCAAGAAATGCCAACGAACAAACTAACCTCTGACTATGCACCTCCTCACACACACAGCCTCTTCTGCACAATCATGGTTCCCAAAAACTTTGCTTTGCACTTTGTAGTAACATTCTCACTTACAACAATGCTAATCAACTGTTTTGTGCACAGCCACCATCTTTATTGCCACATGCAAGTAATGTCTTAAATCCCGCTGGGTTTATCTTTGGTGTACAAAACAAAATCGATATATCAATACAAACAATATATATTTTTCCTGTTATATTGCAGCAAAGTAGATTTAAAACTAAACATCTGGATCGGCTTAAAGAAATAGGATTACTGACATGAGAACAGACTTGATAGAATTTAAACAGATGGTTACAGATAGATGAATGAGTGAAGTAAGTACTAACCTTGAGCAGGGCCAGGGCTACATTGAAGATGATGTTCAGACCCTGGAAGAGAGAGGATAATTAGATGTGTGTACAGAAACAACATGGGTAAACTATAATGTTCATGTGTATGAGCAGGCTTTTAAAAATTTCAGCTCATCAGTGTATTTATTTCTGATTAACTGAAACTGAAATGTTTATTCTTAATTTGACAGCAATTCATGGCTGTAAAAACTATTACTGAGATGTTTGAAATCTTGCAAGGGTTGGTGCCAAAGAGGGGAGGAAGAGAGGTAAAATATCAGATGATGAGGAGTCCTTATCCTCACTGCTACTTAGGCGAGAGTTTTGATTTATTTTCTAAATTTGGATTCAACACTTTATATTAAAAACATCTTCCCACCGGTGCCCGTACTGACATCCTCTACAGTGTGTCTGTTTATAGTGATGGGATGTTCTTCTACAGATGCGTTTCTGGATCTTCCTGATTTAATGTGAAAATAATTACATTTTAACTAGAAATATTGTCTATTATAACTTCTAACAACAACTTCGTGAAATAAACAGCAAAAAAAATCTGCAGTGAAATGAAAGCTGTTGCTATATGGTTAAGTTCTACAGCATCATCATCTCCTCCTTCCCTAGAAAACATAACTTCAAAAGATGATATTTTCTGAGGAAAACCTCAAAATAAAAAATAGACAAAGTAAAAAGTTTACTATGTTTTATTCATTACCTGTATTATGTTTATATATAAATCCCTGATTACTGTGTGGAGCAGACTATTGCATAAGAAGTCTTAGTTTCTATTCGCATGATGGACATCAATGCTTGACAATATGTTTTCCTTCCTCTTTTGTTTATACAACGCCTCTGATTTTGACACAGAAAGAAAGAAAATGTAAAGCTGATGTCAGCTCTGCATGGGAACACCCGTCTCCTTAGTCTCCGTGACGACCAGTTCACATGGCAACACAGAGCTAAAAATATCTGGACAGCTCTAAAAATAACTGGAGAAAGAAAAAAGAGAGGGGGAGCTCTGCCTTCACACACCTATCTTTGTAGGCCTCAAGATGGAGCTACAGTGCTGAGACAGGATCAAAGGTGTGTATGAGAGACAGAAAGATAATCTGAGTGTGTGTATCCAAGCAAGACAGATTCGTGTAGGAAAAAAGAGATACAAACATACAGAAAGGGGAGACATGATGAAATTGACTGGGAAGGTGAGGAGGCAGTGGACCAAGAGAGGCGTGAAGGTTCAAGACTACAAGATGAGTGCAAAAAAAGTCAAGCAGAGTTAAAGGTCCAATGTGTAACATTTATGAGGATCTATTGGCAAAATTAAATTTACTATTCATAGGTTTGTTTTCATTAAGTGAATAATCACCTAAAAATAAGAACAGTTGTGTATTTATTACAGCAGTTTCTGCTACACGGCTGGAAGGTTAATGATGTTTAGTTGTTTGCAATCTGCAACTTCAAAGCTAGATGACACTAAATCCTACACACTGGTCCTTTAAGTGGAAAGAGACACAGAGGCAGGATCATTTTGCAGCTCGTTACCACCACAAATGTGATACTCTTTGTTAAAATTAAACTTGAGCAGCACTGAATGGTGAATGGTGAAAGCCACTCACGTATGAACTAAACATCATCGCGTGACCTTTGGACCCCCCACAAATCAGCAGAACTTAAGTCTCTTGTATTAGTCAGGCAAAACACAAGGCCAAACAAGTCTAGCCTTTAAATTACTGTTTCTAGATATGAAGTAAAAGAATACTGAATGAGGAAAAAAAGTTTAATAGTTATCAAAGTAAACTACTGAGGAGACAAGGAAAAACAACAGCTGACTGAAGGAGTGATTAATAAAAAGGGATAAGAAAAAAGGGAACATTGACAGAAAGGGGATAAAAGATAGAACAAGAAACAAGGGAAGATAAAAAGTGTAAAAAAAAAAAGCAAAGAGCAAACAAGTTAGGCTAGTAAAGAGAGCGAGCAATGACAGGCATTTGTTTAAAGAGACAGAAAAAGGAAAAGATAAGAGAAAAAAAATGATACAGAGACTATTGTGTAAATAAATACCAGATTGAGCCAAATAATACTGAATAAGAGACAGTAGAAGAAAGAAAACACACAGCAAAAAAAGTTGTTAAAGAAATGGCAAGGAAAGACAGAAATGACAGAGACAAAGTAAACAAGGAAAGAGAAAGATGATAGAGAAAGGAAGCAATAAACAAATGGGAGAAGATGATGGAGAGAGCCAAGAAGAGGAGGGCAAACAGAGAGGGATGCAGGAGATGAGAATTCTGGTTTAACGAGCAGATTCTCATCATGCGGCTCATTGGGTGAGAAAGACCTGGGAAACTTTTAATTGTTCTGCCTGGGGCCAATAGGAGGAAAGACAGAGGGAAGGAGAGAGAAAAAGAGGAAGGTGGCGGGTGGGGTGGTGGTGGAAGGGAGAAAAAACAAATAGGGCATTTGACTTTTGATGTTTTATGTAATGGAACTTTTCAGAACAAGACAAAGATTAAAAAAAATCTTAAAAACACTAATGATCTTTTCTCTCTTTCATCTGTACACACAGACATAAAAGTAACACATACATATACTCCCACAGAGGGAGAGACAAAAAATGGGTCCGTGTGGTACTGCTCTTGAACTCAATCTCAAGCTGTTGTTACGGGTAATGCCCCTTCATCTGGCAATTTTAGGTGTGGTGTTCCTCAAAGCTCAGTTCTTGGCCCCTTTACTTTAGGTTTATATGCTCCAAACACAATATTTATTTTCCAAAAGGACACAGCTGCATGTTCCACCTCTAGATAAGGGCCTCAGTCAGATAGTCCCAGTGCACCCTCATTACACATTTGGCTTCATCAGGTTTGTTTGGCAGCTTTACCTGCCACCTGATCCGACTCGCCGGCAGGTGGTGATCAGCTAAAAGCTCTGTTCCTCTCTTCACGTGATCATACGGTCAAATCAGATGATATAGTCAAACAAACAAAAACTCATGCCTCAATTTAAAGAAAAAAACATTGCTGCGGTTCAGATCTGGAGAAACTATTTTCCGAACTACAATTTTATAAAGATTATTTTATAATCTTTTTTGTTCATATACTATTTTCTAGTATTTGCTTTAACTACTTTTATTTCTTGCCTCCCTCTGGATTTGAATTTGGTGTTTTACTGAATATATGCATCATACTGTTTTTATTGTAAATAATGCAGCACTGTAAAAAAAAAAAAAAAAAAAAAGCTATCTGATCAAAGTTTATTATTATTATTATTATTATTTTTTTTTAGTTTTTTTTGGGGATCTTTCTTCCCTTTATTTGATAGCATAGCTGAAGATAGGAAATGGGGCAGAGACAGACTGGGGATGACACGCAGCAAAGGGCCGCAGGTCGCACTCGAACCCATGGCCGGTGGAGCAAAGATTCAGCCTTTGTACATGGGGCACCAGCTCTCCCAGGTGAGCTATTTCAAAGTGGTGCTGTTGATTATTGTGTGCTATTCTCTGACGGGCAAAGGAAGTCTGTGTTAGCATGCTATGATCTACAAAAGAAATTCAGTTTGAGCATTTGAGTGCTGTAGATCTTGTAGTATCTTCACCATGAATGTGTCAGGATGCAATTTTAAGCAGCCACGTTAAGTCACATGGCTTCCAATGACAGACTATGAAAGAACACACACAACAACTGTTTTAACAGATATCTGA